AATTCCATGCCGTAACCGGTTTGGCTCAGTGGATAGAACGTCGGCCTGCGGACTGAAAGGTCCTGGGTTCGATTCCGGTCAAGGGCATGTACCTTGGTTGCGGGCACATCTCCAGTAGGAGGTGTGCAGGAGGCAGCTGATCGATGTTTCACTCTCATCGATGTTTATAACTCTCTATCCCTCTCCCTTCCTCTCTGTAAAAAATCAATTAAAAAAAAAAAAATTCCAGGTTTGACTCAAGTTTGATACCTCTTCTCCTCCCATTGGTAATCAAACTAAAAAAAGTAGTCACAGGCTCTGTTTCTCTGCCACCTAAGAACCTGAAATTAAATCTCTTGCCTTTCACCTTGTTTTGTCTCTGACCCGGATCTACCATACTTTCTACATTTCTATTCTTGGTTATTAAAGCAAAGTGAAGCTTCATCTCTCTGAAATGAAGCAGGATAGGCTGACACCTTAAAACAGATGGTGAGCAAATCTGATGCCCAGAGGGAAAAACTTGCTCAGGTGCATAAACCCCAGCCTTCATAGCTCACTTTCTAGATCGGTGATTCAAATTAAAGGAGAAACTATTAGAAACCCACACAAAGAGGTATCTTGAGTTAAGTGAAGACAGCAGTGCTGAGAGTCTCCTGGTATTTACAGGGTAGCAATTATAGTTTTGCAAAAAAAAAAAACAAAAAAAAAACGGCCTTGGTGAGGCTCAGACGGCCCTGGTGAGGTTGAGACTACTCCAGTGAGGTTGGGACAAATAAAGGGGACCAGTATGGACTGATGAACATGGGTAGATACAGAAGCAGAGCAACATTGAACAGAATGTTAAACTACAGTGGGAAGCCTGGGGAGGGTTGGGGGGGGATTAAGAGACCAACTGAAGGACTTATATGCATGCATATAAGATTAACCAATGGACACAAGACACGGGGCGGGGGGTAGGGGTCAGGGGAATGTCAAGGGGGGGAAAAAAGGAGACATATGTAATACTATTTGTAATACTTTAAGAAATAAAAATTATTATTTAAAAAAAAAAAAAAAAATCTCATGGGGCCATTACAAGTGAGCTAAGACATTAACTGCACATGTAAATTACCCCATCAGAATATCAATTACTTTAGAAGACAATTATATCAATACACATTAACCCTTTGTGGTCCAATGTTATTTTTGGAATTCAAACAGTCTGGTCCAAATTAATTGATGGGATTGAATGTTGAACTTTTTAATGTTTATTGCTCGAGGGTGGACCTGCTCCTAGCGCCTGTTCTGTTGAGTCAGCCTCGAGGTTGGACCGAAAAGGGTTATGAATTGCATCATTTCAGTTTGTTAAAATGAAAAGTGGCCAATGGCAATTGAGTTCTACATGCCAGTTTCTAGGAAATGTTTATCTTTTAGAATCTACGAAACATGCATATAAAAGCACTAACCATTGCACCTCCAATGTCCCAACTACCTGTGGGGTCCTAAAGCCAGGCTACACAGCCAAATTACCGAGAAAACCCTGTTTAGGCCTGTCTATATACTCCAACTCCAGGGGCTGGGAAAAGGGATACAGACATTGTATTAAAGAAACCTCTCCAAATGGTTCTGTAGCTGGGAACTACTTTAAGGTTACAAACATTACGTTGCCGTCAGAAACAAAACCAACCTCCAAAGCAGTTGTATAACTTTATTCGACCGTTAGCATTAGTTCTCGTCCACGTTCACGGTCTGCAGACCTGCAGGAGAGGAGGCGTCACCTTTCACCCTGCGCCCTTCACAGCGGCATTAGTTCTCGTCCACGTTCACGGTCTGCAGACCTGCAGGAGAGGAGGCGTCACCTTCCGCCCTCGCCCTCCCCAGCGGCAGCTTGTGCAGCGGCATGAAACTTACTTTTGAAAGTGGTGACAGGCACATAGGTGACCAATGTGTACAGCTTGTTTGGTGAATCTTCATCCTCATTACGTTTTCTGGACAAACGTACCCGGATACGATATGGGACATTCCTAATAAGAAACAAACGTGTTGGTCAGGTCAACGCCCCCTATCATGACACAGGCACCAGGGGTCCTCAGACATCCTGTCCCCACTGCTGTCACAGGCTTCCAAGGCTCCGTCCTTTGTTCCAACCTGATAGGGAGCCGGCAGGACACCTGACCAATGTGGAAATGTGAGCCTAACTTGCCAGGTCCTCTCCCTCTGCCACCAGCACAGAAACTGGTGATGGGCTTGTCTAAAAGGTAAATCTGGAGAAACACCCCCCTCTGCAGGCTACACTGAATACGGGACTATGACATGCGCTTTCCCTGCCTCGGGCAGGCAGTCCACTCCTCTCATTGGTTGGAGGATGTGAAGTGTCCTGAAACCTGGGACTCTTGGCTTCTGACACCACTCCCCACTTATCCCAAAGGAGCCATCATTGGCGGCTCCTTTGTTAGATACATTTCTACTGAACTCGAACTGCTGGCCCACTGCAGGCTGCTCTCAGGGGTTGTCATCCCACTCAACCCCAACATTTCTGAAAAGCCACCCAGACACCACACCCTGCCCTACACCAGCTCATACCACCGCCTAGCCCCTACCACTTCACTGCCCTTAGCTAGGCCCACCTCCATGGTGGTACCTTCATCATCCTTCACAGCAAAAACACCCTCCTGCTTCTAAGCAGGGTTTCTTAACCTCAGCACTACTGACATTGGGGCTGGGTGTTTCTTTGTTGTGGAGGCTGCTGTGTGCATTCTAGGATGTTTCCAGAACCCTTGGCCTGTGTGCAACCCCACCAGTGATCACCAAATGTGTGCCTGGGGAGGGGAGGTAAAATTGCAAACCAGTGCTCCAGTGGCTTCTAGAGATAAAGCCAAACTCTTTCCCACGACCTACAAGACTCCCCATGATCTGCCTCCTGCCTAACTCTCCATCCTCATTCTGTCCTTCAAGTCACTTGTTTGACTTCCACCTTCATCAACCTGTTCCCAGATCACACCACATCTTTTTGTGCAACACTCCTACCAGCCCCTGCACTGCTGGACCCTCATTTGGGTCTCATTACAAATACCACATCCAAAGGCTTCTCTGCAGATACTAACCCCCTTTGAGTTACTGCTTCACTATTTTTTAATAATTCCACTAGAGGCCCAGTGCACAAAATTCGTGCATAGGTACGGTCCCTAGGCCTGGCCTGTGATCAGGGCCATCTCCCCCACCTCCACGTTCGCCACTGGGAGATCGGATCTGGCCGGCCGGGAGGAGGGACCAAGAGGTCAGCTGTTCTTGCCTACTCACCAGCCCCGCCCCCACCCACCCTCGGTTCCCTTTCGCCATCCGTCGATGGTGATGGGAGGAAAGAGACTGAGAGGTGGTCAGTGCTCCTCACAGTGACTGGTCAAGTGGTCGTTCAGCTATTAAGGTCAATTTGCATATTGCCCTTTTATTACATAGGACACGCATCAGTGATTACTGAGCTCATACACAGGGTGCAGAGCAAGTGGATCAGCTGGTGTAATTTTAACTCTTATAACACGTAACTTCCCACCTTATTCCTTTGGCCCAGACGGCTTTGTTGAGCCTGGTGTCAATGCGCACGTCTGGAGTCCCCATCTCCTTCATGGCAAATTTCCGGATCTCCTTGAGCGCCCGAGGGGCACGCTTCTTGAAACCCCTTAGATTCAAACATAAGTAAAAAATGAATTAAAGGAGCACAAAATTAAATTGCATGTCCTATTTTCATAAAAAACCTAAACCCAACTTTAACAAGGCAGAACAATCCTTTTTTCCACCAGCGCTAATGCCCAGCAACTGGTATAATAGGAGCTTCATCCCCACTTCCAGTGACGGAGGATAAGGCTCTGCGCATAACCCTTAAGGAATGCTAGCACATACAATGGCCCAC